CCATACTCTTTAGGGTGCCTGGTAGATGAGAGCCTTGGTCCTCTGGATGGAGGCTGGGGTCCTTTAAAGGAGAATTCAGACCCTTTATTTCTGGCTCCCTGGGAACTCCGCTAGAAGTACATGGGTTTGGAGTCATCTGTTGGAAGGTGGATAACGTAAGTTTTGTCTTTTGTTCCTGTTTTTCCTTTGTCCCTTCTCACATATACTTTCTGAGAAGCTCACTTAGAGGACAGTCTTCCCAATTGTCTATCTTTTGTAACTTTTTTGAAATGTCTGGCCAACTTTTAGTGACAAAATGGAGTTTCAACATTCCTTGCCCAAGTGGATCATCCAAATTGAGGCCTGCATATTGTCTCATTTACTCCCTCACTCTGTCCAGGAATCTCATAGGCCCTTCATCCTTTTCCTGTTGTATATCAAATGCTTCAGAAAGATTTTGGGGTACTGATTTCCAAATTCCTTTTATTTTCATCTCCCTTATGTCCTGCATATTTTTATTATCTGCATTGTTATTTTCCCACTGGGGTTCTTGTGCGGGGTCTTTCTTGTCCACTGTGGGAAAGTTTTCACCAGAAGGGTGAGTGGGAGGTCACTCATGATTTGGCTTTCTGTCTGTTCTTGGTGTATAGGAATGCTTGTGATTTTTGTACATTGATTTCGTTTCCTGAGACTTTGCTGAAGTTGCTTATCAGTTTAAGGAGATTTTGGGCTAAGAGGTTGGGGTTCTAAATGTGTTATACAATCATGTCATCTGCAAACAGAGAAAATTTGACTTCTTCTTTTCCTATTTGAATACCTTTTATTTCTTTTCTTGCCTGATTGCCCTGGCCAGAATTTCCAATACTATGTTGAATAGGAGTGGTGAGAGAGGGCATCCCTGTCCTCTGCCAGTTTTCAAAGGGAATGCTTCCAGTTTTTGTCCATTCAGTGTGATATTGGCTATGGTTTGTCATAAATTGTTCTTACTATTTTGAGATCCGTTCCATCAATACCTAGTTTATTGAGAGTTTTTATCATGAAAGACTGTTTAATTTTGTCAAAGACCTTTTCTGTGTCTGTTGAGATAATCATGCGGCTTTTCTTGCTGCTTCTGTTTATATGCTGGATTACGTTTATTGATTTGCGTATGTTGAACCAGCCTTGCATCCCAGGGATTAAGCCAACTTCATCATGGTGGATAAGTTTTTTGATGTGCTGCTGGATTCAGTTTGCCAGTATTTTATTGAAGATTTTCACATCGATGTTCGTCAGGGATATTGGTCTAAAATTCTCTTTTTTTATTGAGTCTCCGATGGGCTTTGATGTCAGGATAATGCTGGCTTCATAAAATGAGTTAGAAAGGATTCCCTCTTTTTCTATTGATTGGAATGGTTTCAGAAAGAATGATCCCAGCTCCTCTTTGTACCTCTGGTAGAATTCGGCTGTGAATCTGTCTGGTCCTGGACTTTTTTTGGTTTGTAGGCTTTTAATTATTGCCTCAATTTCAGAACCTGTTATTGGTCTATTCAGAAATTCAACTTCTTCCCGGTTTAGTTTTGAGAGGGTGTGTGTGTCCAGGAATTTATTCATTTCTTCTAGATTTTCTAGTTTATTTGTATAGAGGTGTTTATGGTATTCTCTGATGGTAGTTTGTATTTCTGTGGGATTGGTGGCGATATCCTTTTTATCATTTTTTATTATGTCAATTTGATTCTTCTCTCTTTTTGTCTTTATTAGTCTTGTTATCAGTCTGTCTACATTGTTGATCTTTTCAAAAAAACAGCTTCTGGATTCATTAGTTTTTTGAAGGGTTTTTTGTGTCTCTATCTCCTTCAGTTCTGCTCTGATCTTTGTTATTTCTTGCCTTCTGCTAGCCTTTGAATTTGTTTGCTCTTGCTTCTCTAGTTCTTTTAATTGTGACATCAGTGTCTTCATTCTCATTGGTTTCAAAGAATATTTTTATTTCTGCCTTCTTTTCGTTATGTACCCAGTAGTCATTCAGGAGCAGTTTGTTCGGTTTCCATGTAGTTGTGCAATTTTGAGTGAGTTTCTTAATACTGAGTCCTAATTTGATTGCACTGTGGTCGGAGAGACAGTTTGTTGTGATTTTGTTCTTTTACATTTGCTGAGGAGTGTTTCACTTCCAAATACTTGGTCAATTTTAGAATAAATGCAATGTGGTACTGAGAAGAATATATATTCAATTGATGTGGGGTGGAGAGTTCTATAGATGTCTATTAGGTCTGCTTGGTCCAGAGCCAAGTTCAAATCCTAAATATCCCTGTCAAATTTCTGTCTCATTGATCTGTCTAATAGTAACAGCGGGGTGTTAAAGTCTCCCATTATTATTATGTGGGAGTCTAAGTCTCTCTGTAGGTCTCCAAGGGCTGGCTTTATGAATCTGGCTGCTCCTGTATTAGGTGCATATATACTTTGGATAGTTAGTTCTTCTTGTTGAATTGATCCCTTTAACCATTATGTAATGGCCTTCTTTGTCTCTTTTGATCTTTGTTGGTTTAGTCTGTTTCATCAGAGACTAGGATTGCAACCCCTGCTTTTTTTTTTTGCTTTCCATTTTCTTGGTAGATCCTCCTCCGTCCCTTTATTTTGAGCCTACTTGTGTGTTTGCATGTGAGATGAGTCTCCTGAATACAGCAAACTGATGGGTCTTGACTCTTTATCCAATTTGCCAGTCTGTTTTTTTTAATGGGAGCATTGAGTCCACTTACATTTAAAGTTAATATTGTTATGTGTGAATTTGATTCTGTCATTATGATGCTTACTGATTATTTTGCTCATTAATTGATGCAGTTTCTTCCTAGCATTGATGGTCTTTACATTTTGGCATGTTTTTGCAGTGGCTGGTGCCGGTTGTTCCTTTCCATGTTTAGTGCTTCCTTCAGGAGCTCTTGTAAGACAGGCCTGGTGGTGACAAAATCTCTCAGTATTTGCTGGTCTCTAAAGGATTTTTTTTCTTCTTCACTTATGAAGCTTAGTTTGGCTGGATATGAAATTCTAGGTTGAAAATTCTTTCATTTAAGAATGTTGAATGTTGACCCCCACTGTCTTCTGGCTTGTAGGGTTTCTGCTGAGAGATCTGCTGTTAGTGTGATGGGGTTCCCGTTGTGGGTAACCTGACCTTTCTCTCTGGCTGCCCTTAAGATTTTTTCCTTCACTTCAACCTTGGTGAATCTGACAATTATACGTCTTGGGGTTGCTCTTTTGGTGTTCTCTGTATTTCCTGAATTTGAATGTTGTCCCGCCTTGCTAGTTTGGGAAGGTTCTCTTGGATAATATCCTGAAGAGTGTTTTACAATTTGTTTTCATTCTCCCAATTACTTTCAGGTACACCAATCAAACGTAGATTTGATCTTTTCATATAGTCCCATATTTCTTAGAGGCTTTGTTTCTTTTCACTCTTTTTTCTCTAATCAAGTCTTCTCACTTTATTTCATTAATTTGATTTTCAATCACTGATATCCTTTCTTCCTCTTAATTGAATTGGCTACTGAAGCTTGTGTATGCTTCACGAATTTCTCTTACTATGCTTTTCAGTTCCATCAGGTCATTTAAGTTCTTCTCTACACTATTTATTCTAGTGAGCCATTCATCTAACCTTTTTTCAAGGTTTTTAGCTTCCTTGTGATGGATTAGAACATTCCAAGCTACTTTAGCTTGGAAAAGTTTGTTATTACTGATCTTCTGAATCCTACTTCTGTCAACTCGTCAAACTCATTCTCTGTCCAGTTTTGTTCTTATGCTGGTGAGGAGTTATGTTCCTTTGGAGGAGAAGGGGCATTCTTGTTTCTGGAATTTTCAGCCTTTCTGCTCTAGTTTCTCCCCATCTTTGTGGTTTTATCTACCTTTGGTCTTTGATGTTGATGACCTACTGATTGGGTTTTGGTGTGGATGTCCTTTTTGTTGATGTTGATGCTGTTCCTTTCTGTTTGTTAGTTTTCCTTCTAAGAGTCAGGCTTCTCAGCTGCAGGTCTTTTGGAGTTTGCTAGAGGTCCACTGCAGACCCTGTTTGCCTGGGTATCATCAGCAGAGGCTGTAGAACAGCAAATATTGCTGCTGTATCCTTCCTCTGGAACCTTCCTCCTAGAGGTGCATCCACTTGTATGAGGTGTCTGTTGGCCCCTACTGGGAAGTGTCTCCCAGACAGGCTACCTGGGGGTCTGGGACCCACTTGAGGAGGTAGTCTGTCTATTATCGGAGCTAAAATGCCATGCTGGGAGAACCACTGCTCTCCTCAGAGCTGTCAGACAGGGATGTTTAAGTCTGCAGAAGCTCTCTGCTGCCTTTTGTTCAGATATGCCCTGCCCCCAGAGGTGTAATCTAGAGAGGCAGTAGGCCTTGCTGAGCTGTGGTGGGCTCCACTCAGTTTGAGCTTCCCTGCCACTATGTTTACACTGTGAGCATAGAACTGCCTACTGAAGCCTCAGCAATGGCGGATGCCCCTCCCCCAGTCAAGCTCCAGCATCCCAGGTCATCTCAGACTCCTGTGTTAGCAGTGAGCAAGGCTCCATGTCCATGGGACCTGCTGAGCCAGGCACAGGAGATATTCTCCCAGTTTGCTGGTTGCAAAGATAGTGGGAAAAGCTCAGTATTTGTGCAGCAGTGTACCATTCCACCAGGTATAGTCACTCCTGGCTTCCTTTGGCTAGGAGAGGTAAATCCCCCAACCACTTGCACTTCCCAGGAGGGGCCATACTCTGCCCTGTTTTAGTTTGTCCTCCATGAGCTGCACCCACTGTCAAACCAGTCCCAGTGAGATGAACCAGGTACCTTAGCTGGAAAAGCAGAAATCATCTGTCTTACAGGTCTTATAAAATAATTACACAAATGAAGAAGAGAGGACTCAAATAGCAAAACAACACATCTCCAATGAACCACAAAGACAAATAGACTGAAAAAAAAATGAAGGATTTAGAAAACAATGACATGACAGGGACAAAATCTCAAATATCAATATTAACTTTGAATGTAAATGGATTAAATATGTCACTCAAAAAATACAGTTTGGAGAAATAAATTTTTTAATAAAACACTAATACAACTATATATTGCTTAAAAGAAATTTACTTTGCTCTTAAAGACACGTATAGATTATAGATTGAAAATCAAGGGTCAGCAAAATGTATTTCATGCACATAGAAACCAAAAGCAAGCAGAGGTAATTATAGCTATTCAGATAAAATAGATTTTAAGTCAAAACTTGTATGAAGAAAATTAGAAAACAAAGAATGTCACTATATATAACGATGAAGGAATCAATTTAACAAGATGATACAACAGTTCTAAATACATATGAACCTAGCATCAAAGTACTGAGATTCATAGAGCAAATATTACTAGACTCAGGGAAGAGAAAACCATACAACAGTGGAGGGCTTCAACATCCCACTTACAACTAGTCAGATCATTAAGACAGAAAGAAAATGAGTAATGGAAGACTGGATTTTGACTTTGGACCACATAGACCTAACAGACATTTACAGATCATTCTAACCAAGTGCATAATGTAAATGTTTCTCATCAGTACATGAAACATTCTACAAGACAAACAATATATTAGGCTACAATACAAGTCTCAATATATTTTTAATAATTGAAATCAGATCAAGTGTTTTCTCAGACCACAGAAAACTAAAACTAGAAATCAATACCAAGAGGAACTCTCAAAACTATGAAAAAGTATATGGAAATTAAGCAACTTACTCCTGAACAACCACTAGGTCAATGATGATAGAAAGGTAGAAATTAAACATTTTTTTCAAACAAAAGAAAATGGAAACATAACATACAAAACCTCTGGGATAAAACAAAATCTGTGCTGAGAGAACATTTGTACAGTTAAATGCCTAAATCAAAAAAATGAGAAAGATCACATGTCATGCATGGTGGCTTACACCTGTAATCCCAACACTTTGGTAGGCCAAAACAGGGGGACCGCTTGAGCTTAGATGTTTCAGAGGAACCTGGATAACATAGTGACAGCCTATCTTTACAAAAATTTTAAAAATTAGCCAGGCATAGTGTCACATGGTTGTAGTCTCAGCTACTAAGGAAACTAAGGACTTCTAGAACCTAGGAAGTTGAGGATGCAGTGAGCTATAACCACTCCACTCCACTGAGCAGGATGACAGAATGAGACCATGTCTCAAAAACAAAAAACAAACAACAAAAAACCCCAACAAATTAACAACTTACTATCACAGTTCAGGGAGCTAGAAAAACAACAAACCAAACCCAATGCTAGCAAATGAAAAGAAATAACAAAGATCAGAGGATAACTAAATAAAATAAACAGCAAGAAATTTACAAATAATCAATAAAATTAAATATCATTTCTTTGAAAAGACAAAATTTGTAAGCTGCTACCTAGACTAACAAAACGAGAGAAGATCCAAATAAACATAATCATAAATGAAAAAGGAAACATTACAACTGACACTACAAAAATTTTTTTAAAAAGATCATTAGAGACAACTATGAGCAACTATATATTCACAAACTAGAAAACCTAGAGAAAATGAACAAATTTCTGGAAACATACAAACTCCCAAGATTGAACCAGGAAGAAATATAAATCCCGAAAAGGGCAATAATGAAAAGTTAGATTGTTTGACTAATAAAAGTGTTTCCAACCAATAAAAACCCAGAACAGATGGATTCAGAGCTGAATTCTACAAAACATGCAAAGAAGAACAGGAACGAATCTTTGTGAAACTGTTCTAAAAATTGACAGGGAGAAAATTCTCCTTAATTCATTCAATGAAAGTCAATATCACTGTGATGCCAAAGCCAGATAAGGATACCAAAAAGAAAGAAAGAAAGACAAAAGAAAACTGCAGACTAATATCCCTGATAAACAAATATATAAAAATCATCAACAAAATATTGGCAAACCAAATCCAACAGCACAGCCATAGTATAATAAATCACAACCAAGTGAATTTTATTCCAGAGATGTAACCATGGTTCAACACACAAAAATTAATAAAAGTGATTCATTATATAAACAGAATAAAGGACAAAAAGCCTATGATCATCTCAGTAGAGGCATGAAAGCATTTGATAATATTCATCTTCCCTTTATAACAACTCTCAACAAACTGGACATAGAAAGAACATACCTCAGAATAGTAAAGGACATGTATGACAAACTCAAAGCCAACATTATACTCAACGGGGAAGAGTTGAAAGCACATTTCCCAAGAAGTGAAACAAGACAAGAATGCTGATTCTCACCACTTGTATTCAACACAGTACCTAAAGTCCTAGCTAGAGCAATCAGGTAAGAGAAAGAAATAAAAGGCATTCAAATTTGAAAGCAAAAGTCAAATTATTTCTGTTTACTGATGATAAAACCTTACAGCTAGAAAGTCTCAAATACAACACCAAAAAATTTATATTTGATTTTAAAATTCAGTAAAAGTTTTAGATACACAATCAATATAAAAAATTAAAACATTTCCAGACACTAATTATGACCAAGCTGAGAACCAAATTATGTTTTATATAGTATATATATTATTGGAATACTATTTAGCAATACCAAAGAATGAAAGCATATCTTTTTTAACACCATGGATGAAACTGGTGACCACTATCTTAAGTAAAACAACTCAGAAATTGTAAAAAAAAAAAAAAAAAAAAAAAAGGCACTCTCACTTATGTGGAATAAAGTGTGGAATAACAGACACCAGAGACTTCCAAAGGTGAAGGACTAGGAGGTGTTGAGAAATGATAAATTATTTAATGGGTACAATGTATGTTTGGGTGATGGTTACGCTAAGAGCCCAGACTTCATATGCAATATATCTATGTAACAAACTACACTTGTAATCCTCTCTTTTTTTTCAGTCAAGGAAAGGTGGTTTTCTATTAGGAAATCCACCACTATAATCATATTTTAGAAATAACGAGAAAAATATGATTATCCCAAAAACTGAAGAAAAAATTTGAAAAAAGATTCATTCCTGATATAGACACTTAATAAAACAGGAACTGAGGAGTGTTTCCTTTAACAACATAAACATATGTGCAAGTGTGTGATTCAACCACTCACCCAGGATGTGATTTAATGTAGCATTTTCACCAAAGTCAGAAAATGCTAAAATAGCTTCATGTGTATATGGTATATATGAATTTTACGTTTGTTTCTATATATATAGTATATAAATATGGAAATGCATACACATTTACATGTATCTAAAGATAGACAATAAAATATAAATTTCTTTTTAATAAGGTCTTAATTCTACCTAATATAACAAAGCTATCCTGCCTACAATAAGAACGCACTAACTTCTTATACAGAAGAGGAGGTTAAGTATATTAGTGATGTTCACTCTTCTTGATATCTTGTAATGTAAATACAACAACATAAAATTAATAATATGTACATACTATGATATAAAGTTAATACATCTTACTTGTTATATGACAATGAAATAAGACCGGGAAGAAAACAGAGATATTACATTAACATGTATTTTTAACTTTTATTTGTGTTTCCATGTCATTTTGTTTCATGATGAAAAAACATGTGAAACATAGTGAGGAGGCAGTCCATCTGCAAGTCAGGAAGAAAGGCCTCACTAGAAACAGATCTTGTTTGACCTTTATTTAATATTTTCTCCAAAACTGAGACACAAATTTTCACCATTTCCTGTTTAAGCCACCATAAATGGTATTTTATCATGACAACACAAGACAGCAGAAGACTATGTGATATTTTAACTTAGCTTTTCCTCATTTCTCTTTCCAGTTTTGTGATTGTCTTGTATGCAATGCTAGTAAGAGTTCCTGGTTCCAAAGAGGGTAGAGCACACCTGTTGGCAAGGAGTTATGTTTGCCTATTTTGACATCCCTTCAGCTTCCTGAAAGAAAATAAAAAGGGCTTTGTTTTATTACACAAGATCAATAAAGTCATAAGCTAGTTTCTTAAAAATATCTACAAAATCAACAAATGTTAAACTGACCAAAAATGGAAAGACACCCATATTCATGGATAAAATCATGTTTTAAAGATGGCAATACCCCACAGAAAAACCTAGAATTCAATGTAATCAGTAGCAGTATCCCAATAGCCTTTTTGGTAATAATGGGAAAGCTGATCCAAAAATTGATATGGAACTACAAGAGGCCCTAACATCCAAACACTTTTGAAAAAGAAGAACAGCACTGAACAAGTCACATTTATTGATTTCAAAACTTGCTTACAAAGTTACAATCATTGAAATAGTGGTTCTGGAATAAGAATGGTCACATAGAGTAGCACAGTAGAGCAGAAAGCCAGAAACAAACCCTTAATATACCAACTGGCTTTCAACACGTTTCCAAGATCATTCAAGGGTGAAAAACAAAAAGAATGAAGCCACACTCCTACCACGTTATATGAAGAAACTAACTCAAAGTACTTCAGCATTGAAATAAGTAAACCATGAAACTCACAGAAGAAAACAAAGGGATAAACTTCATGACCCTGCATTTAGAAACTGTATTTTGGATAAGTCACCAAAAGTACAAGGCACAAACAGAAAAACAGATACTTAAGATATTTTTTTTTTTAACTGTTCTTTAAAAACAGGTTAAGAGATGTGAAAAGGCAACCAACAGAAGGGGAGAAAATATTTGCATAACTTATATCCAATAAAGGTCTAGTATCTAAAATAATTTTTTTTTTAATTCAACAACATAAAACCTAAATAACACATGGGCAAAAGATGTGAATAGACATTCCTCCAAAAAAGACATACAAATGACCAACATGTTATGGACATAAAAAGATATCCAACATCATTACTCATTAAGGAAATGCAAATCAAAACAACTGGAGAGCATATCACATCTACTAGGATTGCTATATTTTTTTGAACTGGTAATAGTGGGGAACTGAAGAAATTGGAACTGTTTCATAGTTTTGGTGGGAATAGAAAATGGTGTAGCCTCTGTAGAAAAGTTTGGTAGATCCTCAATATATTAAATATGAAAAAGGCATAAAACCCATAATTACTTTCATGAATAAACATCAAATAACTCAAAAGAGGAACTGAAATATATAATCATACATGAATATTTGCAGCAGCATTTTTCAAATAGCCCCAGTGTGGAAACATCCAAACATTCACCTCGATGAATGGATAAACAAAATGTGTTATATCCCTACTATGGAATGGTATCAAATTATAAAAAGCAGTGAAATACTAATAAATCCTATAGCTCTGAAAAAACTATGCCAAATGAACCAGGCATAGTGCATCATGCCTGTAATTCCAGCGACTCAGCAGGCTAAGATGGTAAGAAGGCAGGGCACATTCAATGGGCTCTCTGTGGCTCTCTCTGCCCACATAGCTGGTAGATCTCCTTACAGGCTTTCCTCAGCTCATGATGGTAGTCACTTTTGGTATGTCATGTCTGGAACAACAACGTTGGATCTACAGGGCTGTCTTATTGCCTTTTTTTTTCTTTTTTTTATTATACTTTAAGTTTTAGGGTACATGTGCACAACGTGCTGGTTTGTTACATATGTATACACATGCCATGTTGGTGTGCTGCACCCATTAACTCGTCATTTACATTAGGTGTATCTCCTAATGCTATCCCTCCCCCCTTTCCCACCCCACAACAGGCCCTGGTGTGTGATGTTCCCCTTCCTGTGTCCAAGTGATCTCATTGTTCAATTCCCACCTATGAGTGAGAACATACGGTGTTTGGTTTTCTGTTCTTGCGATAGTTTGCTGAGAATGATGGTTTCCAGTTGCATCCACATCCCTACAAAGGACATGAACTCATCCTTTTTTATGGCTGCATAGTATTGCATGGTGTATATGTGCCACATTTTCTTAATCCAGTCTGTCACTGATGGACATTTGGGTTGGTTCCAAGTCTCTGTTCTTGCAAATAGTGCTGCAATAAACATACATGTGCATGTGTCTTTATGGCAGCATGATTTATAATCCTTTGGGTACATACCCAGTAATGGGATGGCTGCGTCAAATGGTATTTCTAGTTCTAGATCCTTGAGGAATCGCCACACTGTCTTCCACAATGGTTGGACTAGTTTGCAGTCCCACCAACAGTGTAAAAGTGTTCCTATTTCTCCACATCCTCTCCAGCACCTGTTGTTTCCTGACTTTTTAATGATTGCCATTCTAACTGGTGGGAGATGGTATCTCATTGTGGTTTTGATTTACATTTCTCTGATGGCTAGTGATGATGAGCATTTTTTCATGTGTCTGTTGACTGCATAAATGTCTTCTTTTGAGAAGTGTCTGTTCATATCCTTTGCCCACTTTTTGACGGGGTTGTTTTTTTTCTTGTAAATTTGTTTGAGTTCTTTGTAGGTTCTGGATAGTAGCCCTTTGTCAGATGAGTGGATTGCAAAAATTTGTTTCCCATTCTGTAGGTTGCCTGTTCACTCTGATGGTAGTTTCTTTTGCTGTGCAGAAGCTCTTTAGTTTAATTAGAACCCATTTGTCAATTTTGGCTTTTGTTGCCATTGCTTATGGTGTTTTAGACATGAAGTCCTTGTCCATGCCTATGGCCTGAAGGGTATTGCCTAGGTTTTCTTCTAGGGTTTTCATGGTTTTAGGTCTAATATTTAAGTCTTTAATCCATCTTGAATTAATTTTTGTATAAGGTGTAAGGAAGGGATCCAGTTTCAGCTTTCTACATATGACTAGCCAGTTTTCCCAGCACCATTTATTAAATAGGGAATCCTTTCCACATTTCTTGTTTTTGTCAGGTTTGTCAAAGATCAGACGGCTATAGATGTGTAGTATTATTTCTGAGGACTCTGTTCTGTTCCATTGGTCTATATCTCTGTTTTGGTACCAGTACCATGCTGTTTTGATTACTGTAGCCTTGTAGTATAGTTTGAAGTCAGGTAGCATGATACCTCCAGCTTTGTTCCTTTGGCTTAGGACTGTCTTGGCAATGTGGGCTGAATAGGTTCATGGCCAGCCCTGGAGCCCAGAAGAACCAGTCACAGTCAGTAGGTGATGACCCAGAGGGGAGAAAGGCCTGTGCCAGCCACACTCCCAAGAAATTCTTCCCAGGAGACAGACGCCGGGATTGTCTGGAGTCAGGCCTGACAACCGGGGACCCAGAACGTTCCCCCCATAAAGTGGGGAGGGCCGACAACATCTCTAGCGCCTGCAGCCTCCCGGTGCGGGTAGGAGTCACAAAGATGCCACCCTCGCAACCCACAGAGGGAGAAGGAGCTCCAAGAGCCCAGCGATGGAGCAGTTGAGTGATCATATCCACATCTAGGAGCCTCCCCTCAGAACCAGAGCTCCCTTCAGAGCCTGGAGCAGGGGGCCAATAAGGTGTGGGCGGGAGCTGGCCACAGGGGAGCCCACCTCCCCCTGGGCCTGGTGCAGCAGGCTGCAGAGCTGCTGGTCCTGAAGCACCCCGCTGGGCATCCTCCAACCTCTGCCGCATGTCGCATAGGCACAGGGCACCTCGTTTCAGCTGCCTCTGCCTCATAGGTATTTCTCTAAGCATGTCCCAAGGATAAAAAACATAGCTGTGGGTAAACAGAAATGTAAATCTCCAGTTCAATATAAGGATTAGGAACAGCAAATTGTTTTTTTCTTTGATTATGACTACACATTTTTGAAGAATGTAGAGTATCTATATGAGACTGGTAGAATTTAAAATATGTATGATGTTTCTGAAGTGTTATTGACGGCATATATTAAATGCATAAGAATGTACATTTTCTTTGCTTTTGAAATTTAATCTTTAACCTGCATCTGAAAGACACTGTAGTTGTGCAAATAACATAATATAATTAATTCAAACAAGGCCAACCCATAAAATGTAGCCACTGTAAAAAATTGAGAAAAATACATTGACATGGAAACATCGTAATTATTAACTGAACAAAGAAAAAAATGTTAAAACCTTAAATGCCTTTTAAAAAAGTATATACTCATCCTCAGAGTTTCAAAAACTTTGTTCCTGGCCAGCCACAGTGGCTCACACCTATAATGCCAGCATTTTGGGAGGCCAAGGTTGGTGGATAAGTGAGGTCAAGAGTTCTAGACCAACCTGGCCAACTCCATATTTACTAAAAATACACAAATTAGCCAGATGGGGTGGTACATTCCTGTAATCCCTGCTACTTGGGAGGCTGAGGCAGGAGAATCACTTGAACTAGGGAACTGGAGTTTGCAGTGAGCTGACATTGTGCCACTGCACTTCACCATGAGCCACAGAGTGAGATTAGACCCAGTCTCAAACAAACAAACAAACAAACAAACCAAAAAGTTCTGTAGCAGATTTTTGTATTATAATTATCAGTGGCCACTTTAAGTACAGCTATCACATGGAAAAGTAGTGTATTTTCTCCTCCACCAAAAGGAATACTTGCTTAAGAAAGTCAGAAACCACTATCATCATATTCTGTTTTTAAGAATTAGCCTTTCTGCTAAAATTTCTTTACAACCCCAAAATCATTACTGAGGGCACTTTTGTGGTCATTTATGGTTGTATGCAGGGCTGTGAAAAATGTACGTCATCCCAAGGGCATATGTGTTGGAACAAGGCAACACTCTACCTCCTGTTTCAACATTCATAGTGAATGCTATTCATTCAGTACGAATGAACTAATATAAACAAGATAATAAACTGTTATAAACAAGATAACCTTTTACAGTCTATTTAAAACCACATTTTCTTTGCATTTTCGTGAGTTTGTTGTTGCTGTTGGTGGTAGTGATTCTGTTATCTGAGGTGGCCTCCAAGTGTCATGCTTTAGTGTTATCTAGCATTTCTAATCTTTATTTTTTTATTTTATATTTTTAACCTATATTTTATTTTTTTTTAAGAAGGAGGGAAGGGAGAGAAATGGAGAGAGAAATTTGTAGGAAGA